GAATGCTCTGCCTTCTTCTGTGTTTCCATGCTCTTACAATCTGTCTCACTTTAAAAAGCTGGTTTTCCGGCATCTTTGTGGTGTAGATTAATACAGTATAACCTTTTTTTCTATATTTTAAATTTCTTTCCGTTTTTTTTCGCCCCAGGCTCCGTTGTGGGTCGTTTGACCTGTGCCCGGTTGGCTAATTCCGTAAAAAACCTTACTCTCCTCACTGCCAGGGTCGTCAGCCACCTCCTCTCATCATCACTGCCAGGGTCGTCAGCCAGGGTCGTCAGCCACCTCACTCATCATCACTGCCAGGGTCGTCATCACTGCCAGGGTCGTCAGCCACCTCACCTCATCATCACTGCCAGGGTCGTCAGCCATCATCATCTCAGCCACCTCACTGCATCACCTCACTCTCATCATCACTGCCAGGTCGTCAGCCACCTCCTCTCATCATCACTGCCAGGGTCGTCAGCCACCTCACTCTCATCATCACTGCCAGGGTCGTCAGCCACCTCCTCTCATCATCACTGCCAGGGTCGTCAGCCACCTCACTCTCATCATCACTGCCAGGGTCGTCAGCCACCTCAGCCAGGGTCGTCAGCCACCTCACTCTCATCATCACTGCCAGGGTCGTTAGCCACCTCACTCTCCTCACTACCAGGGTCGTCAGCCACCTCACTCTCATCATCACTGCCAGGGTCGTCAGCCACCTCACTCTCATCATCACTGCCAAGGTCGTCAGCCACCTCACTCTCATCATCACTGCCAAGGTCGTCTGCCACCTCACTCTCATCATCACTGCCAGGGTCGTCAGCCACCTCACTCTCATCATCACTGCCAGGGTCGTCAGCCACCTCACTCTCATCATCACTGCCAGGGTCGTCAGCCACCTCACTCTCATCATCAAGCCAGGGTCGTCAGCCACCTCACTCTCATCATCACTGCCAGGGTCGTCAGCCACCTCACTCTCATTATTGCTGTCAATTTGCACTGAAAGCTGTTGTTCTCCACTGGTTGAAGGCTGTGGATCACTTGTTGAAGGCTGTGGTTCACTTGTTGAAGGCTGTGGTTTTACACTGGTCTTGACCAGCTGCCTAAAAGCTGTGTTCTGTTTGGATGTGTACAAGGGGTGGTTGGTGCACTGGGGGTTAAAGGTTTGGCTGTGATAAATGCATCAAGTCATTTGTTGTGCATTCTTCCTCTTCTCCTCAAGCACCTCGTAGTATGCTCGTATCTCTTTCTTGACATTGCGGATGATATTGCAACTTCGGTCAACATAGGGTCCATTTCTAATGCCATATCCATCACCATTTCAAATGAAGAAATCAGCTTCCTTAGGTTCCGTACAGTGAGGAGTTGTGTTGGAGTTTCATCTGCATCTTCTTCCGTTGCAAGTGGCATTTCTTCCTGCTGAAGCCTCTCCAGTTCTATCAGGTCTTCATTGGTAAGCTCTTCATTGTGAGAGTCGAGGAGGTCTTCTACAACAGCGTCATCCACTTCATTGAATCCAGCCTTCTTTGCAAGAGTCACAATAGTCTTCCTTATTGCAGGTACTGAAGGGAAATCAACGAAGTTGTGCACACACTCGGGCCACAGCTTACGCCACACACTGTTCATGTTCTGTTGTGTTATTGCCTCCCATGAATCACTGATGTTTTTTTATGACTTTCCTGATGTTATAGTGTTTTTCCAAAACATCCGGATTGTAGGTTCCCTTCTCCATCGGTCCCCTCAATCAGCTGCTCCATGATACGCTGAGTGTAGAGCGCCTTGAATGTAGAGATGACGCCCTGGTCCTTGGGTTGCAGCAAAGCCGTGGTGTTGGGAGGCAAAAACACAACTTTAATGTTCCTACACCAGTCAACCATAGATGGAGGATGACCTGGTGCGTTGTCGATCACCATCAGAGCTTTATCATCAAAATTATTTTCCTTATTATAGCGACTAATGCAACCGGACACATAGTTGAACATGTAGTCATGCATCACAGACCCTGTCACCCATGCCTTACGGTTTGAACGCCAGACGACAAGAAGTTGTCCCTTCACAACCCCCCTCAGAACATGGGGTGTTTCAGACCGGTACACAAGGAGAGGCTTTAACTTCAGGTCACCCTCAGCATTTCCACCAATTAATAGATTGAGGCGGTCCTTGGCAACTTTGAATCCCGGTGCGGTCTTTTCCTCCTTAGATATGTAGGTCCGTGAAGGCATTTTCTTCCAGAAGAGTCCGGTCTCTTCCAAGTTGAAGACTTGCTTAGGACTGTACCCACCCTCCTTAATTGTGGTTGCGAGAAATGGTGGGAACTTCTCAGCTGCTTCATGGTCGGCGCCAGCTGATTCTCCTTGTATTTTAGGTTGTGGATTGATATACGTTTCCTAAATCTATCAAACCATCCACGGCTGGCACTGAACTCAGGTACGTTGGATCTATCTTTAGTTATATCTTTCCACAGCGATCTTGCCTTCTGTTGAATCATGCATTGCGATAAAGGTGTTTTAAGGCGTTGGGTCTGGTCGTCAATCCACGTGCTCAACATCCACTCCATACTCTCCATCTCAGCATCACAGAACCTTGTCACCTTCATAGCCGTCACTGGTGTTGCAGACCCGGCCATCTCCTTGATCTTGTCGGTGCTTTTAACTATAGAATGCACTGTAGAGGGAGCCAAGCCGTGCACACGCCCAATCTCTGACGTTCCTTCTCCGTGTTCATGTCTTTTTACAATATCCAATTTCACGGCCAACGTAACTGCCACACGTGATCTCTTAGCAACATTGCTGGCAGTTTTAGTAGCTGGTCGTTTAGGCATTGCAAGATCACACAAAACACAACTGCGAGATCACACAAAACACACACCAGCACGTGTGAGACTGAGGTGAGCGGGAGCATATGGCGGAGGAATGCGTACACATGTACACACACTGTCCTACGCTACGGTTGAGGCGCGCGGTTCAAAATTTTTGCTCGTAAGAATTTGCGAATAAACGGGGCAACCATTGCCCCGCTATTCGCAATTTTGATATTTGCAACGAGTTTCATGCCAGTAGCCTTTACGATAAGTGAGGCAGCCCTGTATTCATATTACTCGCTGTCTTACAAGAATTCCAGCAATGCAATTTATAATCTGCTAACTTTAATCTGTGCCATTTTATAAGATAAAAAAGATAAGCCTAAACCACCTTCAATCTTGCTGGAAATGAGGAGGGGGAGGTGTTGTATTATGACAGCTGGCACCAGCCAACCAAGGTTACCTTGTGGTACTGTATTTATTTATCTGTCATGTAGAGGGGTTTTGAGTTTTTCTCTTATAAAATCTCAATGAATGTGACTTTATAGTAATGCATACAAGCACTTCACCAAACATCACACAAGGAGTTTTGAATTTATGTATATGTAATGTATTTTGTGGGGCAAAGGGAGGCTCAGGAACATAATTCCCATATTTTATCTATTTCACACAGGTAAAATTGATCCACTTAATGTTGTTTCGTACAACGTCGCTTTTTCAGGAACGTAACCCCAACATTAAGTGAGGACTTACTGTATATATCAACTTAATACTCATATCAAAATGATCTTCACAACAGTTGATGCAGTATACTGACATGGGGAAGTGCCGTAGAGCAGCAAGCCACCATCTCTTTTTTATTTTTCGGTACTGTGTTGAATATTCTTGCCTGGTGAGGAATTGTCTGTACTCTTGCACATTGGCACGAAGCACCAACGACACTTTGTCCTTTGCTTGAACATTGTATATGGCCACAAGTCCTGTATTTATGTAGGTAGCAACACATATTCCACAGCTGGCTGATTCCCGGTCTGCGGCTCGCACTAGTATGTGACGTCACAACCAATCACAGAGCTTTTCGCAGTCATGTGACTTTTTAGCAACTTTAATCCTTATTTTTTTTACACTTTTGGGCTCAATTTATTTAAAAATATCATTACCATAGTGAATTTAAGCGTTTTCTTTACCCATTGACCTGCCATCTTACGAAAAAATTCCGACCGTCAACTCATCCATTCACCTTGCGATTGCTTTTCAGGAACATAACCTCATTGTATCTCAAGGTTTATCTGTACAGAGGTGTTTTCGTAACTAAATATAGCTCTGTGTCTGTACGTGTGATATGCATAGCTAGGTTAGGATAGATTTGTTGTGTCACCCAGAAATCCCTCAAACCTGTAGGAATCGCTCTGCACCAATTATTGCGGCTAGCAGGGATTTTATTAGTTTAATTTAAAAACTAAATTACCCAGGTTTATCTTACCTTACAATGTGAGTGTGGACTGGATGCAAGATGTAACAGAAATGATAAACTTTAGAGGAATATGTGGGGTGAATAGGATGCAAAGAATTGAGTACAGTACACTGAATTTTACTTACTTTTATCCTCTTCACTACTGATCGGCTCAATAGCCTCTTGGGCAATCGGTCACTTCTCAGTTACGCACTGTTGGTAAGTACTGGGCATGCACCATCTCCCGAATGTACCTGAACCTGCTCCAGTGTTGGTCAAGTCTGGTCTTGAAAGAGCTCACACTCGGTGCCGTCACAACACTTTCTGGTAGATTGTTCCAAGAGTTCACAACTCTCACTCCACAAAAGTTTGCCCTCACAGTTTTCTGGACTTGCGGCTTTTTCAATCTTGAGCTGTGACCCTTTGTGGGGCAAGCGTCCGTTAACTCCAAGTAAGGACACTCAACTGAGTAGTACCCCTTGAGATGCTTATACACCTCAATTAGGTCGCCCCTTGCCATCTGTATAAGAAGAGGGTAGGGAAAGGGGAGTTGGACAAGAGCTGCCAAAGTTTGCCTATTTGGTATGGAAATGTTAATGAAAGGGAAGCAAGAGTTCAGAGAAAAAACTAAAATTCTGTTGGGACTGCTTCCAGACAGCAGCATTGTATATGGATGACCAGATAATACAAGCATTCCCTCTCTTATCCTTTAAAGTGCTGCATGATCAGAATTTTGTTACTAACTACTCTTTGTTTCCATGATAGGAGGAAATGGGGGACGACCTATTAAGAAGAACTTGGTTCACAAGTGGGTGCACTGGTGCCTCCCTGACCCCGATGACTCAGTCCATATTCATTCTCATGGAGAGATGAAAACAACACATTTTTAAGGTAAAGTTAAATTCACACATTGTTAATACAGAGGCATTTGTGGTTAGGAAAGAGTGTTGTAAAATGGATTTTCACATAGTATTTAATTTTGAATACAGTGATACTCTACCTACAATTAAATGTTTAGAATTTTTTTTAACATGCCTGTGTATTTATCTTTTATATTTAGATTCATGTTAGACTTGGATGCAGATGAAAACATGTTGTCAGCTATTGTTCTGAAAGTGCTATCAAATTAGATATATTTCTTAAACAAATCCTCATAACCACCCACAGTGCCTCCAAATCTCTCTCATCGTGTATCTTTCCTAGATTCACAAAACAGTATAGGTTATTTTTACTCTTTTTTTTTTTTTAATCCCCCTTGGTACGAGAGGTCTCTGTACTGAATAAAATTGTCTGGTATTAAGCCATATGAAATATTTCTGTACAGTATAGTCTGGATTTACGCGGTTTTTGTTTACGCGTTTGGTCATTTATGCGGTGCCTTGCCAGAATGAAATGTTTTAATTACGAGGTAAATTTCATCATTTACGCGGCGAGCGGCCGGAGAGGTCCAGACCGCCGCGCCATTTTTTACTCACGCGGTCCATTCTTGACCATACGCGGGAAGCGGCGTGGTGAGGGGTGCGCATTAGGCCGCTCTTATGTTATCGCTGATGTCATATGACGTATCGGACTGTGATTGGGCCACGCACCCTTACCACCCACGCATTCCCTCCGCCGCTAGCTGTGATTGGTCTAATGTAACATGACGTGCCCTGCCACCAGAGGGTAGAAGTCACTGACTTAGCCGGGCCAGTCTCATTGTTCTCAGTCCGCGTATACAGTTCTCTCTTGTGCCCGCTACTCCCCTCACAATGGCTTCCGCTGGACCCCCACCACCCAAAAAAAACCTTGAATTACCTGGACCAAGCCATGATTGTGTGAAGGAAATCATCAAGTTGGGGGAGAAAATTAAGCTCATCCTTGACAACGACCCAGACAAGCATCGGTATGAAGAGTCTAATAACCATCTGACGAAAGTTGTGGAGCCGTATATCCAGAGCTATCTCGACAACATCAATGCTAGTCGTCAACGTAGTATTAAGGACTTCTTCGTCCGCAACCCACCACAACCACAGCCAGCCCAAGTCAGTGATAGTGACAGTGAGGATATGGACTTTGAGGGGTTTGTCTGGGAGGCCCTGCAAACCTCTGCGAGTATCTAAAGTGATTCACCGGAGGGCAACTAATCTGCCCTCTGCCTCGAAACCAGCCGCCATCCACATGTGCCGACCCATCTTTTCTACTAACGTTATTTTTACTACATGGTACGTATTGTGTCGGAAAAAGTGGAGTTTGGGAATCGGCCCAGTCTCTATTTCAATTAATCCCATATGTTCTGTTATTTCGTTTACGCGTTTCTCGTTTTACGCGGACCTCCACGGGTTTAATTGACCGCGTAAATGCAGACTATACTGTATATACTCGAGTACAATTTGAGTTTTTATGGTCAAATTTAAATGCAAAAAGTAGGGGGTCAAACTGTATACATATACTGTACAGTGATATCCCCATTAGCTGGAACAATTGGTGCAGAGCACTTCCGGGGGATGAGAGATTTCTGGCTAACCAGACGACTTTCTCAAACCCGGAAAAATCCCCCATTCCCGGAAATATTTATGGTTACTGTACTGGAAAAAACTTTCCGAGTGTCTAAACCTTGCTTCTTGCACAGACAAACATTAACCCACATCCTCAGAATATTTCTGCGTGCTGGGGAGTTTTCCCAAGAATCTAAACTAAAAATCTATATGATATGGTCGTGAATGAAGCTGTGTGTTACAGCAAAGACTGGTATTTTCCACTCCCTTGGAGCTGTGGGGGATCAGTGGGTCTCGTGTAACTGACCTGACACAATGTCAGGTAGAGGTAGGATGGAGTGGGGTATTAGTGGTCTCATATTACTGACCTGATACAATGTCAGATCACCCATTGTCGGGCGAGGGATTAGTGGGTCTGAGGACCTGAAGATGTCTTGAATAAACATGAAAGCTAAAATACAGTACAGTAAAACCCCGCTTTACGCGGTTTCACTTTACGCGTTTCCACGTTTACGCGGTACCCTGCCGAACACGGAATGCTCACTTTACGCGGTGCGTGTACCCTTTTACGCGGAGAGCGGCTGGCAGTCTTCTCGCGCCGCGCCATTTTTGGATTCAAACCTTCCGCCATGTTGGGTAAGCGGCGCGAGAATGTAGGTTATATTCTTTTTATAAGTGTCTTATATCTTTTATATAAATATATAAATACTGAAGTAATTACAGTCCAGTATTAATTTTCTCTTATTCATTTATTGATATTTTACTCATTTTGCAAATGAAGTTATTTGCACAAATGAAAAGCAAAGAGTATTTTTATGATATAATTTTGATGTTTATTTAGAGTATTAATGGACGGTTTTTCTAAGTCATCATCTTAGAGGCATTACCAAATTGGAAGGCACATTATAATAGCTATTCAGATACTACATTTATAAAACATGTGAGGATACCATATGAAAAATGTTAAGATAAAGGCAATAAAGAGAGCATTTGTTCGCTCTCATATCAAACAAAATCAATATTGCAAGTGAACATTTGCCATAGTGGTTTTGCTGACCAAAAGTATGGAAATTTAAAAAGGCTCTAATTGGTATTTTTGAGTTTGGGACACAGCAAGGACATTTACATTGGTTGTTTGGAGTGGGTAGA